TCGAATGCTACGCCGGTGTGCTTGTTGAAGGTTAGGTAGTCCCATGCGTCTGTCCGGTGGGGGTGCAGTTCGGTGAAGTAGCCGCCTGCTTCGGTGCTGCCGACTGCGGGAAATATGGGGACGTGGGGGAGCAGGAGGGAGGCGGTTTTGGGGGATAGAGGGGCGCCCGCGTACTGGATGTATTGGAGGGAGCGGAGGGCGGAGAGGCCTTCGGGTGTGAGGGTTAGGGCGTCGATTAGGGAGGGTGGGAACATTGCCGTGGTGACGTTGCCGTGGTGGAGGAGAGAGATTATGGTTGAGGGGGTGGGTGGGCTGGGGGGTCCGATTACGGCGGTCATGTGGATGAAGGTCGTCATGGAGAGGGAGAGGGCCATGCCTACGAACTGTTTTGGGGTTTTAGTTAGGGATTGTGGTTGAATGGGAGGTATGGGGGTTGGGCGTACGTGGAGTGATGGTAGTGGGGTGTAGCAGCGGCGCTGGGCGTAGTGGTGGATTTGGGTCTCGCCGATGTCAGAAAGTGAGGCGACGATGTCTGCTCCGGCCATCATTTCGTGGGTGTAGGTTACTGGTTTGGGGTTTCCTGGGAGGGTTGGTATACTGTCTTGATTGTGGATGGGAGGGGATGTACCTGTTGTGCCTGAAGTGTGGAACACTAGCCATGGATCTGCCCTGCCTTCCTCGTAGGTCTTGCTGTAGTTGACTGGCTTTGCTTCTGCCTCTTGCATGAAGGCTTCAATATCTGGCACTGTAACGGTCTGGACATGTGGAGCTGCTTTTAGAATCTCTGCAACGGGCGCTTCCATTGACGACGGCCTCAAGTAGACTGTGCATCCTTTCTTCTCGAGAATATGCAGCTGGGCCTCGGGAGTGACTAGTGGCGAGGGAAGGACCATCTATGCTTGTTCTCAAAATGAAGTCCATTTTGGATGTCTGAGAATTATTACGTACCACCCTCTGCACCTTCGCCGCTGCCACTGCCAGAATCTGGTATCGCAGATCCTTAGGTCCAGCATAGGCGAAACATTGGAACGGCTCAGACGTCGGAGGCAGGTTTGTCTTCAACCAGTGTGCTGCATGGTTGGCCGCGTTGTTCAGCTCCTTGAAGCTGATATCCCGAAATCCCTGTGACAGGTCCTGGTCATTGATCGGTACGGAGACCCATGGTGGGGTGTTGTCTGCTTTGGCTCTGGCCTCGATTACGGATGTGAGGATGCGCTGGCCGTGTTGGACACCTGGGAGAGGGAACGGGGATTGGAAAGAAGATGCCATTGAGTATGTGCTGTTATAAAAGTTTGGTGAAAACCGTCGACAATTGGTGAGAAACTATCAAGAAGAAGTGTCAGCCTGGAGACATGACTGCATTATATACTAATTCCTAAGCACCCCGCAGCCTTGTGAAGCTCCGCTAGCAGCTGTTGGTGCGCACTTAGGCATCTAGTAAGCACTAGAGGATGCCTGGCGGCTTTTAGCACGTCAGCCCAGACAAAATAAGCTGAGACTCTGGCAGGTCTGTCCAATATTTATCCGTGTCATCGTCATCGACTTAAACGAAGCGAGCGTGAAAAAGAGGGAGTCAGACTGAATCCATTTGTATGACAGGCTTAACTAAGCCACGCAGGGATGCGCGCTGACATGTCCTTCCGGCCCATCCAGCGTATCTTCGCATCCAATACATCCCTCAGATTTTGCTTCCACTATTGCGAGTAACCCATAGTGTCCTGACCGTTAATGGGGACTGAGACTCAGGATGGGATATTGTCTGCTTTGGCTCTGGCCTTAATTACCGAGGTGAAGATGTGTTGGCCGTATTGGATACCGCGGCGGAGGAACGGAGGTTGTAGACATTAAGAAGAGCTTGTTCTGAACTGCCTCTCAGCGAGTTTGATTGTGCTGATATAAAGATAGGAATATGAGTATATGTGACAATATGGATCTAACAGGGAACGTAAGAAGCTTGGCTACAAGCTGGTTGAGTATGTAGAGATGAAATGCTTTGGAAAAGTAGAACTTGCAGGACGAAAAGTATTAAGACTCTATCTCAAGTGGTACTAGATAAATAAAGTAGTATTGATGCTATCTTCAAGTTCAGCTGTACCGGAGCTAAAGCGCAGGAATAGTGACTATCACGAAGAGTCTATCCAAAAATCATGGACCCTTGGGGCTCCAATCTCCTAGCTGGTCTAGCTTAATGTGCAATAAGAGAAGGATATTTAGACTAATAACAGAGCAGGTGACCGTATTTTACAAACTGTTAGCCATTGGTGTTGACCGTACAGTAGAATCTAACCCGCCGAGGGTATACCATTTTGATATATAGCATTCCGATGGGAGATGTGGGGGGTGTAACTCGGCAGCTTAGCTCAGAGTGGCGGACAGTTACTGCTAGGATCGCGTAGGCTGCTAGTGATCCATCCCCCAGGGAATGAACCATTAGGTGGCAGAGAATCTGGTGAAGCATCTGGCTACGGTGTATGTCCCAATCTGCCAGAATGAACTGGTAGCATGCTAGAAACATAACTTGCACTATACTATAATCACTGCATCTCTTGACAGCCCAGCCTCGTGAAAGGAAAGCCGCACACTGACCAGTGTTAGTGATCGCAAAGATCTGGTAAGCACCGCATAATGCCCAGCTCCCATTACAATAGGAAAAATGTGACTCAGGCAGATCTGTCCAGTTTTCATTTGTATTATTGTCATCGGCTCTTGAAAGACAAGAAGTCAGCCAGACTGATTCAATGTGTGACAGGCTTATCTAAGCCATGCAGGGATGCGCGTTGACAGCTCCTTTCAGCCTTTTCACTTCATCCAGCGCATGCAACTCCTCTCGCGATCTACTTCCACTTCTGTAAGTAGAACATGGCTAAGCGACTCGCCCAATCACTTCGTGTCTGGTCAGCGTTGGGGCGCAAGTCCCGCACTTCGTTCCATGGCACCGGCCTGGAGCTTCCTCCCGAACCCAAGATCGAAGAGGAGAAGGTCCCAGGTTTCAAACCCAGTGCCTATTTCCCCGTTAAACCGGGACACATTTTCAATGATCGCTACGAGGCCTTGACCAAGCTTGGCTGGGGAGTGAGCTCCACCGTCTGGCTTGTTCGCGATCTCCAACAGTATGCCGCCCACCTCCTCATCCCCACAGTGCTAATGCCCGGACCATACTACTAGATGGAAATGGCTCCCGGAACGCTACCTGACATTGAAAATCGGCACTTGCGACTACGCGGAAGGCCATGAAAGTCATGAACTCAATATGGAACAATGCATCCGTGACTCCAACCCCAAACATCCAGGCCACCCTCTTTTGAGAACATTTGTCGACTCCTTCGAAGAGAAGAGCCCGAACGGGACACACATCTGTCTGGCCTACGAGCCCTTGCGAGAGCCCTTGACACTTCTACAAGGGCGTTTCCAAAACGATAGATTTCCTCTTGACATCCTCAAGGGATACATCAAGTGTCTCCTGATGGGACTCGATTACTTGCGCTCCGAATGCAAGATCATCCATACCGGCTAGTACCACTTATAGTTCCCCCAGTATATCCAGCACAGTATCCTCATGATTTGCAACTACATAGATATAAAAGCGGCCAACATCCTCGTATCTATCGAAGACTCTTCAGTCCTACGCAGCTTTGCCCAATCCCAACCATCAAAACCCATGTCCCAGAAGACAGTTGGCGACCATACCATTTACCTCTCCCACAACAACTTCGGCCGCCCCAAATCCCTTAACTTTCTTCCAGTTCTTTCTGACTTTGGATCCGCTCAATACCAACTCGACGGCGTCACAAATACCTGGCCAATCAACCGGATTGTTACCGCGCACCCGAGGTACTTCTCGGCGCGGGCTGGTCATACAGCGCTGACATATGGAACCTAGGAGCAATGGTACCCCACCCACCTCATTGACCGAACAAATGCATACTAACAATGTGTTGATACACAGATATGGGAACTGCTCGAAGACAAGATTCTCTTCTCTAACGCCCGCGACTCAAACCTGAAAGGCACCCCAGCCGCTCATCTCGCGCAGATGATAGCCTTCCTCGGCCCGCCACCTCAGGAACTCATAGCCCGGGAGAAAGAAGGACTCAACCGAACATTCGGTATAAAGCTACGGAGTCCCAATGGAAAGCTTTGCAACTCACCTGCAGAGTGGTTCGGTGGGCCGTTTTTTGATGAGAACGGTGAGTTTATACCTTCCATCTTACTACTTGCTGCCTGCTATAGATACTATACTGACAAAAGCCACCACTATAAAAAATCAGGGGAATCTCTACACAAGCATCTCATCCCAGAAAACCAGACTCTCGAAGACACGGTGGCCTACCTCAAGGATACAGAGAAAGACGAATTCCTGGATTTCGCTAGGAAAATCTTGCAATGGCTGCCTGAGAACCGGAAGACGGCCAAAGAGCTGGCTGATGATCCATGGTTGAGTGAAATCGTGGTTTCAGTCAAAGAGTAGTCGTGAAGGTATAGGCTGTTTTTGTACGATACGTAGTAGATGATACCCCTCTCCACTCTGCTTGTTTTATGTGTAAATCTTGGTGTATATAGATTAGAAATCTCAGCTCCGTTGTCCATAGTATACTCGAGATTCAGACCACACTTACGAACTCTAAAAAGGACACGCAGGATACAAAACTGGCAATTGATTGTCTTATCCAATAGTGGACACAGAATTTGAAGGGAGAAAGGCTGTCTCTATATTGTTTACAAAAGTACTAACACTCAAGATAAACACCAAACAACTATATAATGCCGGACACCTCGTGTATGTATACTAGACAGAAGTGCCAATCAAACAAGAATGTACATACTCCGTACTTCGAATCGAAAGACAATACTAAGCGCGAGCAAAAGACTGAAGCGAGTCTCTACATCAGACCATCAAAATGCTATGGTAGGACATTAAACCAAGTAAACTGTGATGAAATCCAATGTTATACATCAAACAGCAGCTAATTAGGGGACTCAGAAAACAAAAAGTAATAAAATGACAAGAGTGGGATTCGAACCCACGCCATCGAAAGATGATCAGGAAGCTTGTGGAAGCTGATTTATTTAGGTGGACCTAAACCTGACGCCTTAGACCAACTCGGCCATCTTGCCTTTATTTTCGTTGGTGGGTGGCGAGTGATGTTCATTCATTTCCTAGGATCACCATGTGGTAAGTACAAGTTAATATCCAATACTATATATATAATGGTAGTTCGCTTTACTATAAGTTATTTCCGTTATTTCTTGGTAGTAAACATACACTAATTCTAATATTATCCAATGTTATTACTCGTCTTCAAGGATATATCGCTGTACTGAGCCAACACAATCAAGTTCCTCATTCTCACGCTGAATCACCACCGAGCGAGCCTTGTATTCAGGGTCGCTCAATATTAGCTCTACACTCTTTCTGATGGTCTCGGGGCTGGGAGTGTCGGTTCGCAGGTTTATACCGATTCCGGCCCATTCTCCGCGCATGCATACTTCGCCTTTGTCTTCTACGGATACGGCGGTTGTCGTTAGTGATTGGTCAAATTCCAAGGCCGAGGGAGGACTTACGAACTGTCCCGGCTAACACCATGGGCACTCCGTTCATCACGCCATGCATAAAGCTGCCATATCCGCCGTTTGTCACGAAGACGTCAACGTACGGAAGAACCGCATCGTATGAAAGGTAATCGGTGATTTTGGCGTTATCGGGTATCTCGAAGTCATCGTCCAATACTGCGCCCTTCACTCCTAGCACGCCAATGACCATGACATCTGGTCGGTTGGCAAAGGCCTGTACGGTGGGGATGAGTAGGTCCTTGTAATGAATCTTGATAGTACCCTGGGTAACGAAGACGACTTTCTTCGGGTTCGTTGCCTGTCTGTTCATCTCCAGCTCACCCCACCATTCAGGCAGGGGTGTAGACGGGTCGACTTCCCTGCGTGGTGTGCCGCCAATGAACCGGACCTTGGGCGAAAGGTCGCTGCGCGGGTACTCCAAGCTTGGGGAACAGGGCTGCAGGAGAATGTTATGACCCGTGCTCCACAGGTCGAATAACCACTGGTCTACTTTCATGGTTGCTCCAAGAGATGCATACACGCTATTGGTGTAGTCAACTAGATCATCGCGGATGGCTTTCTCGGCGGCGTACATGGCAGCGTTGCGGGCTCGGCCGTCGTCGCTGGGGTCGGGAGGTAAACTGTGGCCGAACGGTGCTGTGTCGACACTTGAGACGAGCAAGGGTGAGGTGGAGAATGTGAGGGTCTTGGGAAATCGCTCGTAACCTTTGGGTAGGGGTGCTCCGAGAAGGAACGGCCAGGTGCCCATGTAGCCGAGCTCTTGGATGAGAATGACCACGCGGTTTGGGTGCTTTTCGCGGAGAGTTTCCAGGACAGCCTGTAGTGACTTCATTCTGGATGCGGTCACGTCAACGAAATATGTCTTCAGGCCCCAGACAGTGCGTGCGATGCGATCGGGAATTGTCTTCACGTAGTCTAGACTCTCGGGGGAGTATAGGTTTTTTAATGGGTAGAAGGTTGCTCCGGTTTTGCGGATGAGAGTTTCGAACTCTTGACCGCCGATGAAGGAGACGTCGAAGCCTTGTTTGGTCAGCGCGGTGGCATGAGGGAGTAATGGGAGTGTGTGCCCGATTATTGTCGTGCAGGCAATGACGATAAGTGGCTTCGAGCAGTGATCCTCAGATGGGGTTACCTTGGTGTCGATAGTCATGATTACGGATTGGCACTCTAAGACATACGCAGAGAAGGAATCTGCTGGCCTTTCCTGAGCAGTATGCTGATGAACTGGTTGTTTTAGAGGAATTCAACGAGTTATAATGAAGTGGTGCTGGTGGGCAAGTATCGCCACTTACAAAGGTCTCCTTTTATACTCTGTCGAGGAACCTCTAGCTAGCCAGCCGCAATGCAACTAGCGCGGGAAACTTGATGTATGTGTTGTCAGGATACGCGATCGATCTCTCAGATCTCGCCTGGTGTGGGGTGTATCGACCAATGAGCACTGCCAATTCAAGGTTCGATGAAAGGGCGAAGCATTGAATCCCGTGCAGGAGGTATGCGGGCCCTCAATAGAGTGAAGAGGTAGCTGTCAGTGTGTGAGCAGATGGTCTCTGTTGTCTAAGCACATTCCCCATGACTGACGCATGCGCATATGCCCAAAGGGCGTTGAGTTCTGGATCAAGGGAGGACATGTCTGCTGTTGACATTCCTGTAAGCAAATGGACGAGCACATGGACGGGCAAGGGGCTAAGCTTTCGATGGCTCTGACATGGCTCCATTGTAGAGCTTAGCTGAAGGAAGGGAGGAGAGAAAGCAGAAGATACGAATAATAGCGACCTCACCTGACTAGCAGACTCGGTTGAGATGCAGCCTCCAGTTCATTCGAAGGGATGACGGCTAGCCATAAGGGAATTCTCACTCATATTACTTCATGGCCCCAGCCCAAAACACTAGCACAAGCTTGTTACCCACATACCACAGTCGGTAGTCGCCTGCGTGTACCTGTTTATCCGGACAGAGATGGAATGAATGCCTTGGACTTTGTGGCGGTCAAAAATATCTTGGTAGGGATCGTCTCTATCCTGCATGTCATCACGTGGAAAATTCGGTTCTGGACTCCAAGCATTGAACCAAAATAGTGAACTTGAACCAGCTAACGTAGCAGTAGATCAGAAAATGGCTACGGAGAAACATTCCATATTCTAACGTGTCATTTCTATCAACCACCCATGTCGCTATCAACTACTGCGGCCGTGAACACTTCTATCTGTCATGTACAAGGGTATCGGTGAGAACCATGGGCCTCTCGTAACATAGGCTGCGGACTCCGAACGTGCCAGATTGCAAACGAGGGGAGGAAAGAAGGGATAAGTATAAAGGAACAATCATGAAATAAAATAACAAACGCGTTCATCCAACGTCATGCCAATGACCGTACGCGAGGATATCGACATGTCAACAGGGCTTCAAATATTTTCGGAGAATGGGTAAAAGAGACAGCAAAAGAGAAATCGTGGATCATCGTCGATCAAAAAACCAGCTGGTACGCTTCCCAGTCTCCTGCGACTGGACTCCTGCAACTGGAGCACTGCTCTCGTTTCCTCCGCCGCCGCCTCGGAGCGGCTTTGCGATTCTCGAGCCGCCAAAACTGAAACCGCCGCTGCCATCCATACTTGGAAGACCCCTCGTAGAGCCCTGCTTCGCAGCTTCGAGTCGCTCTTTGACCGCAGTGAGTTGGGCTTCAAATCTGTATCATCATCTAGTCAGCAACCTGCTTTCGTTCCTTTGTCAAAAGAGTGGAGAGGGTCGTACCGGTGATTCGCTTGGGTGAGTTTCTCCTGGCTCTCCTGGAGCAGGCTCTCCAAGCTCGCAATCCGCTCGTTCCGGGCAATGAGCTTTCTCTCCGCAATAGCAACCTCCTTCTTCAGGCTGCTGTTCTGTTCTACCAGCTGCCGCTGCACATGAGTCAGCTGCTCCAGGTTGCGTTCCAGGAACGCCATCTTCTTCTGCTGGGCCCGGTTGTTCGACGAACGGAGAACGTTGTTATACTGCTCCCGAGCATCGTCCAGCGAGATCTCAAGCTCCACAACGCGCTCGCAGCGGTTCTGGAGGTCGCGCATGAGCGACTTCTTCATGGCATCAAAGTCGGCAATCTGCTGCTGCAGGTTCTTGCCGGCTGCGCCGTTGGTCGAGACCCGGGATTGGGAGTCTGCAAGGGACTGGCGCAGCTTGTCCAGCTCATCATCCTTGCGTGCAATCTCGTTCCTAAGGTCCGTGACTGCCTGCATTTCGGCCTCCTTCCGGGTCACGTACACCTTCTCCAACCGCTCCCGGATTTCCTCCACGTCGCCTTCGCCCAGGTTCCGCTCCAGAAGGTTCTCATAGTCCCGCTCGAGATTCGCCAGCTTCTGCTCAACTTCCGCTCTACGGCTGTCCTGCAGCTCATTGAAATCTCCCCGGTCGTTCATCGTGAGCTCGGCTTGACGGATGAACCCTTGGGTCTCCAGGAGACTCGCCCGCAGCTCCATAAGGTCGTCAGGCGCGATCGTCTCGCCGGCTTCGCTGACCTTGTGCAAGGAATCGACCCGCTGGATCAAGTCCTGAAGCTTGCGTTCATTATCGGAGAACACGTCACCGCCCAAGTCGAATCCGGCCATCATCTTCGCCATCTTTTCGGCCTTCTTCTTCTCCTTCTCGTCCAGTGCAGCGCTGGTCTCCTTGGCCTTCATCCGAACGTCGAGAAGCTGCTGCTTAACATCGTCCAGCTCGGTAGTCAACTCGGAGTTAGCCTCGCGGAGGCTGTCCATAGTGATAGCGGCCTCCTTGCTTTCATACGACACCTTCTCCAACTGCATACGAAGCTCATTGACCTCGGTGGTCAACTTATCGTTGTCTTTGCCTGAGCGGGCGGAGTTCTCTTTCATGCTTCTCAACTCCTCCCGCGCCTCACGGAGACCTCTTTCGACGTTGGCGATATGCGACTCCTTCTCCGCGATCTGGTCCTGAAGCTCATTCTCGCGTCTAAGGAACTCCTCTCTCTCGTCCTTCTCGAGAACAAGGCTAGGTGTGCTAGAGCGATCGCCAAGCCTGGACTCAGGACGAGGAGTCTCAGATCGAGGCGTGTCCTGGAAACGGGAGGGCGTACCGGGCCGTGGTGCACGAGCCTCGGCCTTCGCGGCGCTCACAGCATCCCCTCTGGCGGGAGTCCAGCGATCCTTGGGAACGGCCTCGCCACTCCGCCACACGTGCACTTCACTCTCAAGTTGTGAAATATATGTTTCGAAATTCGTCACCTGGCTCTGGGCCTTGCGCAAAAGTGCCTTCAGTTCCGAAGGGCTCAATTCGGCGTTGACCTTCGCCTTGTTCTTGATTGCCTTGGCGCGCACACCGAAACGCAGGGTGGAGATGGTTTCCGCATCGTTGTAGCTGCTGGGGGAGCAGTTGATGATCAATGTCGTTCTCGAGTTACCTCCCAAACTCTCTTGCAGAATACGCGTGAGCTTGGAGTCACGGTACGGGATATGCGTGGATTTGCCATCCGTTAGCGCGTTGATGACCATACCAAGAGCACTCAAACTCTTGTTGATCTTCTTTGCTTCTTCGAGCGT